CTTAGGTGCTAATGTTGAAACACCTACCGATGCACATGTGCCGACTCCATGACTACGAAAGCTATGGGACCTACGTAGAAGGCTTATCGTAGGAGAACCAAGATCGATACTAGTAGACGATCCTAGTGGACTACCATCGGATGATGATGCTCATCCAAAATTACCAAAATGTGATTCGGTAATGACTATGAGGGGACGATGCAAGCCACAATTACCACGAGTCATTCGTTGTATGATCTAACATTAAACAAATAAACAAAATATAACAAATATATTATCCGACTAAAGTAATAAGTAATTAAATAAAAATACATCATTTATTATGGGTATAAAACAATCAAAATACACAACGAATATTTAGTTGGGGTAGAAAAATCGATATTATTAATCGCATATAATAAATTAATACCGAGAAAAAAATTATCTCATTTCTTATTAATACAACAAATGAAATATAAATTTAATTAAAACTATCATAAGCATTGTTTAAGTTATCATCTTTATCATTCAACACATTTTCACAATCATTATCATCATCAACCACACTAACTTATATATCTATAAACAATCCATTTGGATCATTTAACAAAGTGACATTCTCGACTTCCTCTATCAATTCGTGTTGGATTTCCAAATTATCCTGCTAAAATGGTTCAACATTTTGTTGGATGATAGTTGAGGAATCAAGGAAGTCAAATATAGACCTAGCTTTGATCTTACACATAACCCACCAATTTTCATTTTTGTGCCTTAAGCTAGGGTGCTCCATATAATACACCCGAGCTGATTTTGATGCTAAGACAAATGATTCGTAATTGTTCAAGATTCTCTTATAGTTAACATTCACAAGTTTGTACTATGGATGAATCCTTGTTCCTTCTACTATAAGATCGAACTAATCACATTTGAACAATATTGTTCTCTTGATTGGCAATGCAAGATGCTCTACTTCAACTATTTTTATCGGTATCCCATAATAGTCACTCTCAATTATACTGTAATTACTTCTTTCATGCAAACACCGCTATTGAAAGACCTTGTTCTTGAAGATCTATCAAGTGTGTAAAACCTATAACCATTAACAAAATAACGTTCTACGATCTTACGATAAGCAATGGGCCTTGTGTGTGATCTTTCAATAACTAGTCTTTCATGAAAATTTCTTATGCATTTTTATGTCCGTAAATTAAATATAAAATCCCCTATAAGCTTATTTCTCTTTTAATTAATGCTATTAACAAACTAAATATATAAAATGATAGTACTTACATATTGATTAAACTATGAGATAAACTCATTTTCAATTAGAGCATTGACCTCATTTTTTAACATGAAGGGATTATCTAGTTGCATTTCGGTAAGAAATCCACTAACGAGAAGAGAATGAACAACAAAATTGAGTTAATCTTTACTATATTGCAAATATTATTAAATGTAATAAAATAGGTATAATATAGAATTTGAATTTTGATAAACTCGATCAATGTAAGGTTTTACTTCATCATAATTTAATAATATATATTGGTAGCCTACTTTGTGTTCCAGTTGTGTCAATTTTTGTATTGTGTGTCGACTAATTAGTTGACCTTGTTGTTTAAATATAGATAACATCCCTTCAATGTGTCACTTTGTTCCGAAGGATCATGCATAATATAGAGGTGTGAAATAAAACAAATTCCTCCATTTAAGGCGCCAAGATCAAGCCGTCGAATCTATTAACCATATATAAATGAATTTAAGGTAATGAATAAAGAATTACATCTTGTAGTGTAGATCTAAATTCTTTTATCGGAAAAGTCGTCCAATTGTTTGGCCTCTATTGATGATCCACGCTATTCAAGTATCCATAAAGAAGCACTCAAAATCAATAGCGTGCTAGCTTTACCTTTTCCGATTTGTGTAGTATTTCCTATAAAAATCAATCTTAGGAAATTTTACAATAATCTTAAAAGAGAAGGAAATAGTATGTTTGTTCTATGGTTTTTGGAGAATACTATTTTCCTCTTTTTTCTTCACTTTACCGTGTCCCCTAGTAAGTTTTTAAGTTGGTCGAATTTTTCCTTTTTTGCTCTTTTTACTTAGTTTAGTTATCGCACCTCTCTCTTTCCTTTATATTTATAGGAGAGCTTTCTTATCCTCCAAGGACAAGGAAAGGGGCGACATTAAGTCCCCTTTAAGACTCTAGGTTGTTGCTTCCTTATTCTTTAAGGATGAAGAGTTATTTCTACATATGGACTTTTGATTATCTTCAAAAAATTCATCCTTATCCAATAAGGTTACCGTTTATCCTCCCACAAAAGTATCTTAAGGCTTTTAATTAAACCTAATGAGCTAAAACCCAATTAATTTATTTGAATTATCTAAATAAATAATCTTAAATTATTTTAAACGACTCCATATTAGGAATTAATTTCTCAAAATATCCTTTAACCTAAATTATGAAACTCATTTCCATTTTAGATTATTCACTTCCAAAATTGAAACTAACTTCCAAATTAGAAAAATTTTTATTTTAGGAAACTTTCTAAAACTTTTCATTTTTAAGAAACTTTCAATCTTAGAAAACTTTTCATTTTAGAAACCTTTTCAAAAATAGGAAGCTTGCATAATTGGAAACGTTTTTCAATATTTTTGCTTCTTATTTATAATGTAAATACTTAAACTTATGCGTGTGACTCAATAGGCTCCTAGATGTGCTAGCAATGTAACAAGATTAAAAGATTCATCTTTTATCTCTTGATGCATAAATCAAGATCGACCTCTAGTAAGCCATTATGGTTACCTAATTTTCTAGGAGGATTAATTAATCCATTCGTAACTTTCATGAGCATGGTTACTATGCAATTCAGTCCTTTTGTCAACTTATCACCGTGTGATCTTGAACTTGATTATAATTCTTATTCGATTATGATCACACACATTTTCTTTTATTCTCAAATGTCTTAGCTCTTAGAGTAAACCAAATATGCTCTATAGGTGCACTCTTACCGTGACCCCAAATTTCTCAAGCAAACATTTATTGAAGTGAAATGTGATAACTCCTTTAACATACAAGGAATGACATGTCCTATCTTAGTCATACATTTGTATTAATTAGATTTCTAGAGCACCTAACGAATCACCCACGTACAACCTTTTAATGGGTCCATCATTGCGAATGTCAAAGTGCATAAGTCCTTTAATGAGACAACTATGATGACTTCAAGTCTAAGGATCATTTGTACCCATCTTGTATGAGATTCCCATAGACTAAAGCAAAATGGGTTCTCTTGGCAAGTCAAGTCCAGTGATATGTTCTCTTACATAAATCACTCATGTGCAACCTTTTAATAGGTCCATTGAAATGAGTGTTAAAGTCCATAAGTCCTCTAATAAAACAACCATGATGACTTCAAGTCTAAGGACCATTTGTGCCCATCTCATATGAGATTCCCATAAACTAAAACAAAATGAGTTCTCATAGGGAGTCAAGTCCAGGTGATATGTTCTCTAACATAAATCACCTAGGTGCTTACTTTGGCATCACAATGCCAATATGTGTGAGATCTCCTACTACTATCATATAGCATGAGCATAGCACTCACAAGTCTATCCGCATATAGTTAATATCCATTCTTGATAATGCTATGACTTAGGATGTTTAATGATATCATTTATATGTATTAGTGTTTGTCTCACATGTTTCAAGTAATCACTATTACAAATGCATATCATAATTAATTCTATCTAATTCTACTAAATTTATAAACATAAAATATAAGAAGTAATAGAATGACTTCTTTATTATTATTAAAATAAATAATGTAATAATACATTAACTTCTACTAAATTTATAAATGCATATCCAAACATGGTTGAATCGTAGGCATCTACATTGACATGTTCCGTATCGTAGTAGTCAACATTAAGCAGCACTTATCAATGCCTAGTATGGACATGAGGCTCAAAATAATCCGAGCAAAATAAAGAGGCTTTTTTGACCAAATATGTATTGCATATTGATCCTTCCACTTTAGCCTTATTCTTAACATTATTTTTTAGCTTCGTAAATAACTAAAAAATGAAATATTTAACTTTCAAAAGTTAGAAATTTATTTAATTCTATATTTATATGAATGTAGTAACTTTCAAATGGATACATCCATCGATATTGCACAAGTCCGACAATAGATGCCTCATATGGTAGATGGATTGAAAGATGTTCCCTAGAGTAAAAAACGCTTGGATAGAAATATACACTCTAGTTTGGATAACATGATAGGTATCTCATCATTAAGTCACAACATATCTTTTCCCCTTATCACCTTAGAAGTCAACTCGCTTAAAGAACAAACTAAACTCCGTAGGTGTCCGTCAAACATTTCTCGACAAAAACTCCCAAAATGCATTTGGATGTAACCTCTGCATGAAGACGTGATAATGATGTCTTTTCATGCCATAAAGTTTGTCATGCTACATAGCAACACATCTAGCTAGTTGAACACATATCCATTAGGAAACCCGAGTTGTTTTATTCATTCAAGCAATTTTACTTTTTATTATTTAGATAGAGTAAATGTAGTTTTAGGATACTTATTAAATGCATCATCCTTTGCTAATTCCGGACTCTTACAAAAAAGTTTCAAGTCTTTCCAAAGTTGGCATTATCATTAGCCTTACCCGGCACATTCATGAGTTTTGTTTTTTAAATAGGGTATTTCTAAAACTTATTTACAAAAAATAAGGTTTTTTTAATCTTATTTATCAAAACAATATAGTTTTTGCCACATAGATTAAATCTCCTACACATGTCAGTTTTTTTTTAATGCTAATAATGAGCCATTTAACACATCAGTTTTTTTTTCTAAAAAACTATGCTAAGATGGGTAAAATCGAAAGGATAATTGGGATGATGAATGCTCTATCATTGGGGACAAGGGCGAGACCGGGTTCATCGATTTTGAGGATGACAAATGTGTCTACAACTATAATCCTTGCAGCATACCAAGTGATCAACAAACAATAGTTAAATTTTGGTAATCCAATCTTCCTCTTGGGTCTTCATCATCGCTAGTCTTCCTCTTCCGAGTTGTGACTTCCAAGCGGTCATTTCTTATAGGCTTTCAAAGAATCAACCCTCACTAGTTGATGAAAGGATAAGAATTCATTGAACATCCCTATCCGAAGCCAAACATCCAAGAAGAAGATTCTTGTGCATCTATTCAAATTTAGCTTTGGAATCGATTCATGTGCCTCACTACGTACACATTAATTGAAAATCAAGTTGGTGCCTCTTTCTCTTCTCTTCGAATCCGGGATTTGAAGATGATGAGAATGATTTCATATATCCGGGATTTGTAGAGATATACACTCGGTTGCATAAGGGATATGCATGGATAAGGGAGAGATATGAATGGATACATGAGGGAGACATATGCATGATTATAGTTGCAAACACATTTGTCATCCTCAAAATCGATGAACCCAATCTCGCGCTTGTCCCCAATGACAGAGCATTCATCATCCTAATTATCCTTTTTGATTTTACCCATCTTAGCATAGTTTTTTAGAAAAAAATTAAAACCGATGTGTTAAACGGCTCATTATTAGCATTAAAAAAACCGACATGTGTAGGAGATTTAATCTATATGGAAAAAACTACCTTGTTTTGATAAATAAGATTAAAATAACCTTATTTTTGTAAATAAGTTTTAAAAATACCCCGTTAAAAAAAAACTCCACATTCATGATTGTGTTAAAAACATTGTCAAATATATTTTTCTCAATATGCATGACATCTAAATTATGTCGAATGAGTTTGTACTCTAATAAGGCAAATCCTAAAAAATACTCTACTTCCTTCATCAATACATTTGAGAGATTCTACTATTATGATCATCTACACCATCTTCTATCACCTTCAACAACCCCCACTATTCCATCATATGTAACATTTCGCTCCAAATCGAATTAGAGGAGGGCCAAATTTAATAATTTTTTTAATAGTGAATGCTTTCTTATTTCTTCCATATAGATGATCATGAGGAAGAAATTTATGGTGGTTGTTAAACCGGAAGGTCTTCCTTCTATTAGGAAGGGAGAAAGCATCCGAATTTTTCATACAAGTAAGGACAAACTTGTTTTCCTACACTACTCTAACTAGACAACATCACATATACAGGAAAGTCACTCATGTCCATATAACTACAACTCTCAATAGAAAATTCTACTTGTAGTACACATCGTAGGTCACCATATCCACTTCCCATAATTGGATAAGCTTAGATATGAAAGGTCGTAAGTAAATGTCCAACTTAAATTTTAGATTCATTGGACCCAAAACAATCACCGTTAGAAACACATATTCCTCCTTCATACGGATCCATGATGGTAAATTGTATAGAGTCACAATGACCGACCATGAAGAATATTGTGTATCGGATTAACTAAATGGTTGAAACCCATTAATGCATACTTCTAATCTAACATTCGTTCTTTCAGTTTCAAACGGAAGATTGATCCGATTGAAACTTTACCAAGCAATAGAATCGGAAGGATGATGCATTACTTCTACATCATTTCCCCCATGTTTAACATGCCATGTCATGTGTTCAACTATCACATTTGATGCATACAATCACTACGGACGTGGGTTAGTGGGAAGTAATACATTTTCTTAATTATAATAAGTTTTCCTCTTCCTAATCCTCAATGGAACTTTAATTTCAAGGATGTTGAAAAAACTTGCATTTATCTAATTCATTACCTTCCTTTCAATAAATCATGAACCCGTTTTTTCAACCGATAAACCCATCCCCTTAACCAACTTCTTTGTTTCATAAAAATTGCCTATCATACGAGTTATCAACCGACATCAACTCCTTCATCAACTTATATAACTAGTTGAAACGCTTCTCAAGAAAATGATATTCGGCTTTTAGATTTAGCATTTAAACAACTTCGACAATCATAAGTGCTCATCACAACTAGGTCAAATCTCTCTACGAGATGCATTTAACATATCATAGAAATGCTTTTTGCGTTAGGATTAGGAACCTCCTCTCGTGTTAGATGGATCAAATGATGGACCAACCGTATCCATTACTATAATTTGATATGGGTTTTGGGGTTCACTAAAACTACTTGTACCTACATAATAATTTCCAAAAACATACTAACTCCGAGAATTTTTAAATGCCATATAGGTTTAAAATTTTCCATGATGTACCCAATCACAATATCCCAACATAAAACCCTTATGGCATAAATGATATTTTACAGCTTCAATCTCTTCATAATTTCAGCTTTGACACTTGTAAAAATTACAAGGACACATAATTTTGGTTTCTTCCATACATTCAATATGCTCAACAACAAAAGCTAAAAATTATTCTATACCTTTAACAAAATCATCATTTAGCCATCCGTTAACTAACCTAAAATTCATTCATTGTCGATTAGATCTCATTTTTATAATTGCTGCAAAAAATGACATAACCAATGCAAACAATTACTTATCATCATTCCTATGAATTTTAAATAAATATTAAGCCTACATATTAGTTGTGTAATTATCTCTAATTAGTTGTGAATTTTGTTTTAAGAATTTTTTAAATAATTGTTTGAAGAATGATTACTTTTTTTATTTTTTAATTCTTAAATACTTAATTTTATAAGATTCAATGATTCATTATGTAGTTTTTTTTTTTTTTTACATTTTCTACCTTAGGTTGAATAATAATCCTAACCTAAATGAAACATTTACTTTTAATTTCAACATCAATTTTTCATAAAATTTCATTCAATTATACCTAAATTAACTCAATTAAGCATTAATTGATCAATTACAAGCATAAACTTCAAATTAGGCCTCATTGGACCTAAACCTTAATTTAGGTACTTGAAGCCAATTTTTCATTTTAAATGTGATTTCTCATTCTATGTCATCTAATTACATTATTTAAAGTCTAAATTAATTAATTAAAGTTAAAATTTACATTAATTTTTATTAAATTTTCCTACACTACAAGAAAACTGTCATTTAGCAATGAATTATTAAGTGCAAATCGATCGCTAAAAAACGTTTAGCGACAAATTTGCGACCAAAAAGAATCCATTGCTAAAACGCTTGTGGCTAACTCTAGCATTGGATGAACAAGTATTCATTTCTAATTTAGCGATGGTTTTTTTTTCCATGAATCTCTAAATTTCCTAATTGGTCGCTAGAACAATTGTCTTCACACCAAATAATGCATCACTATTCCATCGCTAAATCTGCTACTAATTATCTCAATATTAAACATGAGTTCTTATAAGAGCATATGATTGAATGACTAGTTATTTATATTGATGTCCAAATGTTGTGGATAAATAAATAGCCAACACAATTGATGAGAACTTAAATGATTTTTCAAAACCAAACTACTCGCTTCATTGAACATCAAAAGATTTGATAAGTAAATAACACCATGTGAGCTTCATGGCATCGGATCCCGAAACTAATCCTTTGTTTATAATTAGCTACTAAAAAAGGAACTACTATTTAAGAGATAGAAATACAAGTAATTGCAATCTAAGCAGCTTCTACACCAAATTGCCTAATACTTCATTCCTTATATCCCTAGTTACTCCTTCTAGTCGATTATTCATCACCATCTTCCTCTTGCATAACAATAACCAAATAAGATAATTAACAAAAAACTCTAGGAAAAAACCGAAACAAATAATAGAAGTTTGAATCCAATTTTGATATGAAACCTACATCCTTATCACTCTCATCTTCCTTATCCTCATCATTCACTTTTGATTTTGACTTGTCGGATTCATCATTAGTTTTTCCACTAGCCTAAAATCACCCAATAAAAACCAATCATTTCCATAACAAACTACAATTAAACAATTCTCGCTCCATAAAAGCACAATTTCAAAAACAAAAGGTTATGAACAACAAAAACTATAGTAATCTTTTGTTATCAATAGCCATATCCTTGTTGTATTTAGTCTTTCTCTTCTCAGCTTTAGCCACAAAAGAACTAACCAAAAGAGAGGGAGGAGAAGAGAGACTATTGTAGTAGTTTCAACATGGTTTTTAAGGAGAGAAGAGTGCCTCGTTGGAATTAGTGGGCTAAGAAAAAAATGGTGTTGAGTGGGGCAATGGTTAGGGTCAGTGGGGGTAGTAGAAGGAAAGAAGAAGAGGAGCAGAAGAGGGAAAAGAGGGAAAACTATGAGGAAAAGAGACGGCCGACAAGTTTTAGGGATTTAGGATTAGTGAAGGACACGATTTCGTCTCTAATCTATTGCTAATTTAAATTTTAAACAAGCACCTAATTTCTAAAATTTTCAAAAATGTAGGCAATTAGCGATAGAATTTTATTGCTAATCCATCACTAATCGATGACAAACATAAGTGTCCATCGCTAATTTGAAATTTAAACCCTAAACCCAATTTTCTCAACTTTTAAAAAATTTAATGATGAAAATAAGTATCTCGTTGCTAATTTGAATTTTAAACGAGCATCCAATTTTCTCAACTTTTAAAAAATTTGGGCAATTAACGATGGAATAAATTCCGTTGCTAATTAGCGACGTAAAAATCCCTTGTTAATCCATCACTATAATTAATGTAGATTTTTATTGTGTGCTTTAGCGATCGCATTTCTTTCATCGCTAAGTGTTCGTTGCAAATCCATTATAGGTCTATCGCAAATTATGGCATTTTCAATTTTGTCACCAATCGGTCGCTATTTAGTAACTAATTAGCAACAAAAAACAATCCATGGCTAATTGCTCATGTTCTTATAGTGCTAATTAATTTAATAATAAATTTAAGTAAATGTAATTTATTTAATAAAAATAAAATTTTTATTAAATTCTATTTATTAAGAAAATGCTTATTAAATTTTAATGTTTGTGTTTATTTTCCAATGACATTTTTATTCTATTTTTTTTTTAATTTCCAAACTAAATTTAATAAATTAAAAAATTAATTTAACTATAAATCAACCTAAACTAAATTACATAAAAAATTACATTAATAATATTAAACCTAAAAAATTAACATAATTAAACTTTTTTAGTTCTACATTAACATAAAATTAGCCTAAAAATTTTAACATAACTTAAAAAAACACTTAATAAAATTAATCGAATAGTTAGGAAAATTAAATAAACAATTAAGAAATTTACACTAATAATTCACATACAACTTAACATTATTCAAAATTAACATAACAAAAAAATTAACAACATTAAAATAATTAATCAACTTACAAAGAAAGAAATTAATTTATGAAATTTATAACATTTATTTAATTTAAAAAAAAACATGAAAGTTAGAGAGAGAAAGTTTTACTTGAGAGATCAAGGAGAGAGAGCATAGATCCGGTCCGATTTTGAGAGAGAAAAATGCATCTCATATTATTGAATGATTTGAGGAGTCACTTGGTGGTGGGGGTGAGGTGGGTAATGGTTCTCTAACTGGCAAGTGTGATTTTTTGGTGGAGAAGAGGGGAGCCAAATAGGGGAAGATGAAAGGGGAGGGAGTATTTATAAGGCAATTAGCGATGAAATCAAATTTCATTGCTATTTTGGGAGAATTTTTCCTTCCCAAAAGCGCCAATTAGCGACGTAATTGGGATTCCATTGCTATTTTTGCTTCTTGGGGAAAATTCTACCCAAAATAACAACAAAATTTGATTCCGTCGCTATTTTATTCCTAAATCAATGATGGATTCTCCAATCCATCGTGAATTTTGTCCTTTTGGGCGATACTTTCCCTATATAAGCCTTAGAAATAGCAACGCATTCCAATTCATCACTATTTTGCAAGTCAAATTAGTGATGGATTAGGAATCCATCACTAATTTGTTATACTTTGGCTTAAGCAATCATTTTTAGTGAATGATGCACGACGGATCTACTTCCATAGCTAATTACCGATGAAAATCTCTTGCTAATCCATCGTGAAAAGTGGCATTTTTTTTTTTTTGCCGTGCAAATTGTTGATAGAATTATTTTCGTCTCTAAGTTTTCTTGACTAATCCATCACCGATGAGTCGTAAACATCAACATTTTCTAATCGATCGCTAACGTGTCATTAATTTATCGCTAATTAGAGATGGAATGAAATCTATCACTAAAATCCATTGCTAATTGCCAAATTTCTTGTAGTGTGTCCTTGACCTAGGAGTATAAGGAAAATCTCCCCCAATGAGTTAGGGGAGAGAATTGCGGTAGCTAAGAGATATTGAGAGGGAAGAAATTTGGCAAAGAGAGAAAAGTCTATATAGGGCATATGGCATAAAGTAAATAAAAGCGTATATGCCATTTTTCTCCTTCCATTAAGGTTGTTGTAAAATCGTCCGGATTAGATTTCTATAGGAAACACTATATAAATCAAAAATTATGGAGCTAGCACTCTACCAATTTTGACTCGCTTCTTTATGGGTACTTGGATGGCTTCTTTCTTTTTCAAAGAATTTAAAGATGTGCTATAAGAGGTAATCCCTTATTTAATATTTTAATTCATGCATGTATGGTTAGTAGATTCAACAGACTTGATCTTCTACTCTTTAAAGGAAACATTTGTTGTTTTATTCCACACCTCCATAGGATGCATGATCCTTCGGATAAGTTGATATGATGACTAAATTATGTGGTAATCATCCTCGAGAAAGGTAATTATGGATTAATTAATCCTCCTAGAGAATCGAGTAGTCATGATGTCTTGCCATAGGCCAATCTTAACTTATATATCAAGAGATAAAAGAGGTGTCTTTTATTCTTGATACGTTGTCAATATATCTAGGAACCTATTGAGTCACATGTATAAGTTTAATTATTCACATGATTAAAGAGAAGAAAACATGTTGGAAAAAATTTTCAATTATGAAAGTTTTCTATTTTGGAAAAAGTTTTTGGAAATGAAAGGATTCCTAAAAGGGAAAGTTTTCTAAAATAAAATTTTCCTAAAATTGAAATTTTTCTATTTTAGATATCAGCTTTTCCTAATTTAGAAGCTAGTTCCTAACCTAGAAGTAAATAGCCTAAAATCTAAATGAGTTTCCTAATTTATGTTTAAAAGGATTTTGAAAAATTATTTCCTAATATGGGTCACCTAAAATAATCTAACTTAATTTATTTTGATAGTTCAAATTAATTAATTAGACTAAAATGGTTTTGGGTCTATACGTTTAATTAAAAGCCTAAAAGATATCTTTGTGGGAGGATAAACATGAACCTTACTGAATAAGGATGAATATTTTATAGATAAAGATTAAAAGCCCACATGTTAAATCACTCTTAATCCTTGGAGGATTTGGAAAGCAACAATCTAGAGTTTAATAAGGATTAGTTGCCTCCCTCCTCTCCTTGTCCTTAGATGACAAGGAAACTCTCCCCTATAAATTGAAGGATAAGTGTGGTAATAAATATATATAGACTAAGAGGACAAATTCGACAAACATAAAATAAAAGGGACACATAACTTAAAATAAAATCTAGGAGAAAATTATTTTCTCTCTAACCTTAGTATATAACTTTCCTTCTCTCTCTTTTTCGGATATCGTAAAAATTAGCCCGATTAGATTTCTATAAGAAACACTAAATAACTCTAAAAATGTGTAGCTAGCACTCTATCAATTTTTAGTGCTTCTTTTGTGGGTACTTGGATTGTGTCGATTATCAATAGAGGCTACACTTGGATGACTCTTTTTAATAAAGGTTTATATTTACACTACAAGAGGTAAGTTTTTTATTCATCACTTTAATTCATGAATATATGGTTAGTTGATTCACTTGCATGATCTTAGGCCCTTTAGATGGAGGAATTTGTTTTATTATTATGCACCTCCATAGCAAGCATGATCCTTCGCTTCCTAATGTGGATCACCTAAAATTATCTAATGTAATTTATTTTGATAGTCCAAATTAATTAATTGTGCCAAAATGATTTTAGGCCAATAGGTTTAACTAAAAGCCTAAAAGATTTTTGGTTGGAGTATAAACATAAACCTTATTGGATAAGGATGAATGTTTTGAAGATAAAGATTAAAAGCCCACATGTTTAATAATTCCTAATCCTTGTAGGATTATGGAGCAACAACCAAGAGCCCAATTTAGACTAATTTCCACCTCCCCTCGCTCTTAGAGGATGAGGAAGTCTCTCCTATAAATATGGAAGAGAGGTGTGGCAAGTTTGTGATTTTTAGGGGAGAGAAAATGGCACAAAGGAAAAATATTATACGGCACATGACATTGAGAAAAATAGAAGGAAAAAATAGTTTTCTCTTAAAAACCCTAACACACAACACTTTCCTCTTTTCTTTAGGTTGTCGTAAAATTACCCCGATTCGATTTTCATAAGAAACATTAAAGAAGTCAGAAAAAAGGAGCTAGCACTCTACCAATTTTGAGTGCTTCTTTTATGGGCGCTTGGACTACATGGATTATCGATAGAGCCCGAATACTTATATAACTCTTTCCTATGAAAGTTCAAATCTTCACTATAAGAGGTAATTCTTTATTTAAAACTTTAATTCATGAATATATAATTAGTTGATTCCATGACAAAATTATGGGCCCTTTAGATAGAGAAAATTTTGTTATATTTTGCACCTCCATAGGATGCATGATCCTTCAAAGCATACGTTTTTGGATAGAAATTCTTTTTTTTTCCTACATTCTTCATCAACATGTCTCGGTTAAGTTTCTTGTTTTCAATTTAAGGGGATTTTGAAGCCCAAATTGATATCATCTATGTAATTAATTATTAGTAACGTTTTTCATATCCTTTTTTTTTGTATAGGAATTAATTCTATATTATTGGTTTATGATTTTTATCTAAAT